TTCACCGGAATTGTTTTAAATTCGGTATTTGAAGTCCGTAACGGATGCTACAGCCTATGACAGAATATTGTCTGTGCAAGTCCTCGTCTTCATATATCCCCCCTATTACGGTACCTCTTGATATTAGGTACTTTGGTGATTTTAGCGACATTATTCACTGGAATTGTGTCAAATTTGTATTTGGAATTTGAAGTTGATAACGGATGATACAGCTATGACAGAAAATTGTCTGTGTGAAATCCACTTCTTCGTATAGCCATAATATAACGGTACCTCCCGATATTCGGTATTTTTGTGATTTTATCAACATTATTCGCCAATTTTTTTTTTTATTCAAGTTTCGCATTTGATTTATGACAAAAGTTGCCTATGCAGGTCCATGACGTCGTATATATACCCTAATATTAAAAGCTACATTCGGAATTTTTAAGATTTTAACAGAATGTTTAACGGATTTTATTTTTTTGGAAAATTGCCAAAAATCACTCCAAATTGTGGAGGGTATTCAAAGATCGATGTTGATTTTCCTAAATTTGTATTCTATCAAAACTGATTTCACAAAATTTAATTTCTTTTTTCTTCCAGGTATGTTTATGCTCCTTTCAACATTTTTGTACTCCATTCCAATTCTATCCGACATTTTAAGGTAATGTAACAAATATTTACTTAATTCAACGCAAATTTAACATTTTCTATTGTTTACACACACAACATTTATATGACCTTTGACATTCAAACTCGCATTGGACAATATTTGTTCTGGTTTTTGTCCTGTTTTTTCCAGCTGATAACGTAATTGACAATTATCCTTCTATTAGCTGGAATGTTATAGACAATATTTCCATATTCACATACTCCACACAATGATATCTTAATGTGTATGTGTGTATATGTTAATATTCAAAATAATAATTATAGTTCCAGTCAATAACCATTAAATATAAATAAGGGAGGTCCGCAGCTGTCATCATAAACCATCATCATCATCGTAGTAGTCGTCGTCGTCGTTGGCGGCATGATTATCAGGCGGGAGGAAGTTCCAACACATAAATTGGCCAGGAACTACATACGATTACGTACGACCACCCTCGTTAATATCCACATACATAAATACATTTTGAAAAACGGCTATCATGTCTAGTAAATATAACTAAATTGGCAATACCGGTTTTCTGGTTTGCCGGCTCGGTTTGGATGATTGGTAGGTTCGTTGGTAGATTCCTTTGTAGGGATATTTTGGCATTATTATATGATGACATTGATATGCGGCTGGCAGGATATTAACGTTAATATTATCTCATAATAATTTAATTAAAATACAAACAAACAAGACAACTAATATTTACAAGTACAAACACACACACACACACACTCTTACTGATGTGCTCTAATTTACATAGACTGTTTACATTGGCATACACGCGCTGTCTGCGCTGTGATCTCTCTTGTGGGTATGATGACCTGTAATTAGGTTTGGAAAAGGAACAACTTAGCCTTTGCGCTATGAGAGTGGGGTACCAAAACACTTCCATTTATAGTAGAGCTCCAGCTCCAACAGTTTGGGAGTCACATTAGAGGAATAACTCATTATAAGGTAATGCAAATAAGTTGAGTTTCTCTTAAAAATTTACACGTCTAAAGAATACATTTTATTTATTACCAAATAAGGAGTAGCTATTGTATAAACAGCATGTTACAAAACTGACAAGCATATACGAAATAAAAATCGAAATCATGAGCTGTTGTTGAAACTCTTTTTTGTGTGAAATTCCCTTATAAAATAATGACCAGAAAATTGGCTAGGAAACCCATTACTTAGTAATGGGATTCGTTGCTGTCATCTACAGCAACTAATTTTTTTTTTGTTAAGATATTTGTTAGAGGTTCTTTTAACGCAATTGGGGTATCACATGTTCAGGATAGGGTGATAAGAGGCACTGGTTTGAATTTATTTTAGACTTGTTTGATTAAATTGTTATACCCTTAGCCATATGGCTGGAGAGGGTATGCAGGGTGTGATGAAAAAACTGTAACCAACTTCAGACTGCTGTCATTTCTAAGCCACTCGTCCGACAGCTGTTTAAATTTTTCACTAAAATAGATGTGAAATTATGAATTTTGGCATATAGGCCACAGGTGTGTAGGATGTAGACAATGATGTATTTTTGGAAATACGTGTACGAAAAATTACTAAAAGATACTAAAATTGGAATAAAGTATAAAGAAAAATTAATGAAATTTGGCACTTATGTTTGTAGTCCTTCTATGATGTTTGTTATTGAAAATAGGCTATATATAATGTGGACTCACATTAAGGTGTAGCCCCCCTACAACGGTAACTCTTGATTTTCGGCATCAAAACAAATTAGCTGCAATTTGGCATTACAGGTTCTCATTGGGTATAGTCCCCATATAACAGTATTTTAAATATGACTGCCCAAAATTTCAACTAAATCAGCTGTAATTTTTTGTTTCAGATTCAATTTGGCCATAAGTCCATAAAAAGATGAGCTAAGCTGAATTAACGTTTTTTTTCTTTTCTGTTCTAAAGAGTACTTGTGGTCGCCGCATCAAAAATGAAATGCTAGTTTTGCGCCTGAAAGTATGCTACTTAATAAAAAATATCGAAATTGAAGCCTAGATGGCGTTTGTTATAAACATCAGTTCAGTACCAACAATCTTTGGATTGAGTTATGCCATCAAAATTTCACATTTTTAGTCGTTTCGTCTGGTCCTTGATGTCATAAGGACTTCCTTTCCAGACTTTTTCTTCTAAATGTATGCCCATCAATTTTTATACCAGCAGAACAAAACTATGCCGACCATATAGTTAGCAATGAAAAAAACCCATTCTGATTTTCTCAATGAAAACTTTCGGGTCACGTGGGTCAAGGTCTTATGTGGGATTGAGTAGACCCTCCTACGATTGGCTTTAATTGTTTTACCCTCAGCCATGTAGATAAAGAGGGTATATAACATTTGATACGACCAAAACTTTCCTCATTGAAATAACGGTTTTGGATCCTAGGTCTCTTTGGACCAAATCCGTTTCAGGACATTTGGAGTCGATTTAGCGATGTCCGTCTGGCTGGCGCGCACCATAACTCTCGAAGGGAGTATCCGATTTAGTCCAAACTTGGTACATCGTAATATTATCCTCAAACTTAGATCGAGTTCGGAGATGGGTAATATCGGTCTACTACTTCTGGTAACTCCCCCACATACGTTTGAAAATTTCAAAGAAAATAATTTACTGCACAGAAAGAGAAAGGATAAACCGATTTTGCTCCAACTTTGCAAATCCCAAAATTTGCATCAGTGTGAAATTTGACAATATCGGTCCACTCCATCAAGCACCTTCCCCACAAAGGGTCAAAATTTTGAATAATTACAACTCTTATAAAATGTGATGTTAGAGTCCAATTGTCTTCAAATTACACACATCACAATATTTTATTAACCCAAGGTCTGGAGTGAAGATGGAATATATCGGTCCAATTCTTCTGGTACCTCCTCCACAAAGGGGCAAAATTTTGAATATTCATGAAGCTCATAAATCACGAAATTAATATCCTATTCTTGGCAAATCTCATATTTCTATCAACACAAGATCTGTTATAAAGATGGTAGAGATCGAACCTTTCCTTCTGGTACCTCCTCCACAAAGACTCAACGTTTTAAATAACCAAAACGATTATAAAATCCGAAATAAGCATCCGGTTCTCTTCTAATTACACACATTACAATATTTTTACTAACCCAAGGACTGGTGTGAAGATGAAGATATATTGGTGCAGTCCTTCAGGTACCTTCCCCACAAAGGGTCAACATTTTGAATATCCATGAAGCTCATAAAGCGAGAAATTAACATCCAATTCCATTCAGACTTGGCACGTCTCAATATTTCCATCTACACAAGATCTGTTATAAATATGGTGAAGAACGGACCATTCCTTCTGGTACCTGCCCCACAAAGGGTCAAAGTTTTGAATAGCAAAAACGATTATAAAATCCGAAATTAACATCCTGTTTTCTTCATATTGCACACATCCCGTTATTTCTAACACAAACACGAGATCTACGGTGAAGATGGGATATATTGGACCACTACTTCTGGTACCTCCCCCACAAAGGGTCAAAATTTTGAACATTCATGAAGTTCGTAAATCACGAAATTAAAACCCAATTCTATTCAGACTTTGCACATCTCAATATTTCTATCAACACAAGATCTGTTATAAAGATGGTAGAGATCGGACCATTCCTTCTGGTACCTCCTCCACAAAGGTTCAACGTTTTAAATGACCAGAACGATTATAAGAAATAATTATCCGGTTCTCTTCTTATTTCACCCATTCCATTATTTCTACTAACACAAGATCTGTTGTGAAAATGGCATATATCGGCCCACTACTTCTGGCACCTCCTCCACAAAGGGTCGACATTTTCAATATACATGAGGCTTATAAAACACGAAATTAACATCCGATTCCTTTCCAGACTTGGCATATCTCAATATTTCCATCAACACAAGATTTGTGTAGGTTCGAAACTAAGTGGAAAATATTAGCCCATTCCTTGGGAACCTACATTGTAGACGGCCAACAATTTGAATAATCATAACAGAAGTCAACATATATTTAAATAATCGAACAGTGGTTGAGGTTGAGCCCCGCCTCAATAACGTAGCTATCATAGTTTTTGTGTAATTCAGCATTTTCCTTGCAGTTTCCCACTTTGGTGGGGGTTAGGAGAATTGTTTTAATCTTAATAACTGTTGAAAATACGTTGATTTATCCAAAAAATAGTAAAAATGATTAATATTAAAAAAAAACTATTTTTCAATTAACCCCTTGTGCACCACCACAAAATGCAAGTGGTGGGCTTTGCTATTATATTTTACATTTATCTTCTCGGGCATATGATGGTGGTCATTTGTCGATAAAACCGAGTGAAACTTTTTAACATGTTTTTAATTCTTTAAAATATTTACCCCACAATTATTGCTCAGTTTCAAAAAAATCTATAAATTTTATTTCTATCATTTACAATATTTCAAATTTCAAACCATATTTTCCGCTACAAATCTCCTGCAAGAGGCTGGTTTTGTAAAAAGCATAACCCGGTGGTATTACGCCGCCACTGAAAGAAAAACACAACAAAATTTAGTACCATATTCCGAAAAAGAATATTTTCACTTACTTTCCCGGCATTTTAGCCCTCTCGGTTAGAATAGTCCTTGCACACAGCAGCAGTGCTTTACTGGTCACCCCGTAATAATGATCTTTGGCCGATATCCGTACCACAACCTCATACGTTGGATCTGGATCGTGGGGTGTGCTTTGATACCAACCTCTTGCCTTGAGGATATAATTGAATTCAATGGCTTTACGATTTGCCTCGACCGGTCCTTCGTGGGTCATGAAACCAAATGAGAAAATGTGAGGATATTTCAGCAGTAATTCACGTGTACACTCGAACATGGCCAAAATGTAACCGATGGTCAGCAGAATGGGGAAGAGAAGGGCCCACCAGAAGGTACTATGAGAAAACGTAAAATTGATATGAAAAACAAAGACATAAATTAAAAAAAAAAAAAAAAAAAAAAAACAAATTAAAAAGTATTAGTCGGTTCTGCCGACAGATTTATACCCTCATCCATTGTTCGATTATTTAAGTATAATTTGATTTTTGTTATAATTTTTCAAATTGTGAAATTATGAAGTAGGTTCCGAACGAATGGGACAATAATGTTAATTTCGTATCGGACCTAAAAAAATATTTAGATATAGTAATTTATAATGAATCGCTGTTATGACGGATAAAATTATTGAAAATGTTAACCCTTTGTAGGTAGGGTACCAGAAGGGGTTGGCAAATATATTTCAATTTCGCAATAGATCTTGTGTTAGCAAATATGTTTGTGTGTGTGAAATTTGAAGGGAGATGGTTGCTTATTTAGCTTTCTTTGAGCGTTTGGTTTTTCAAAATCTTGAACCCTATGCGGGGGAGGTACCAGAAGAAATGGTCCGATCTATACCATCTTTATAACATATCTTGTGTGGATGGAAATATTGAGATGTGCCAAGTCTGAATGGAATCGGATATAAATTTCGCGTTTTAGGAGCTTCATGGGTATTCAAAATGTTGAACTTTTGTGGGGTAGGTTAGCAGAAGGAGTGAATTGATATATCCCACCTTCATAGAAGTAATGGCATGTGTGAGATATGAAGAGAACCTGATGCTTTTTTCGGATTTTATAATCGTTTTGGTTATTCAAAATTTTGACACTTTGTGGGGGAGGTACCAGAAGAAATGGTCCGGTCTCTACCATCTTTATAACAGATCTTGTGTTGATAGAAATATTAAGATGTGCCAAGCCTCAATGGGATCGGATGTTAATATCGCGTTTTATGAGCTTCATAAATATTCAAAACTTTGACCCTTTGGTGGGGAGGAACCAGAAGGAGTGGACCGATATATCCGATTTTTACTGCAGATCTTAAGTTAGTAGAAATAATAGGATGTGTAAAATATAAAGAGAGATGGATGCTTATTTCGGATTTTAAAATCGTTTTGGTTATTTAAAACTATGACCATTTGTGGAGGAGGTACCAGAAGGAATGGTCCGATCTCTATCATCTTTAAAACAGATCTTGTGTTGATAGAACTATTGAGATGTGCCAAGCCTGAATGCAATCGGATGTTAATTTCGCGATATATGAGCTTCAGGGATATGCAAAATGTTGACCCTTGGCGGGGGAGGTACCAGAAGAAGTGGACCGATATATTCCATCCATTTGTGAAACTTGAAGACAATCGGACTCTTACAACACATTTTATAAGCGTTATCATTTTTCAAAATTCTCATCCTCTTGATTCTTAATGGAGTGGGCCGATATTGTCCATTTTGCACCTGACCTTTGTGCAAAATCGAATTATCCTTTCTCTTTCTGTGCAGCAAAATATATTTTTTTGTTTTTGAAAAATTCGACCTTTTTGTGGGGGAGGTATCACCTTCGAACTCGATCTAAGTTTGACAATAATATAATGACGTACAAAGTTTAAACCAAATAAGTTACTCCCTTTGAAGATTTCATTTTATTTTTCAAAACCCCCCTTATTACCGATTCCATTATTAACTACTCAAACCCTAATTACCTAAATCCAATGTAGGTTCCAAACTGTATGGGACGCTTGCCTTCACACAAGTTGAGCAAACGTTGGGATCTCTGGACCATATAACAAGCAGCTGTTGGCATTGCCACAAAGTAGCTCTTCACACCATCAATCTGGTGGATTCGGGATCTGCAAAATTTTATAAATTTTGAGTAAAAATGTCTTTCATAAAAATCTTTTCCATACTCACTTCATTACCAATTTGGGATTCGTTGGTCGAATTCGTTCACAATTCAATTGCTTCTGCAGCGTGGCAATTTCCCTGGCATGTTGCATATAGTAGACAATGCTGTCCCAGGTGCCACTGTGCAAGATCGCCTTTGACGATTTGTCGACATAATTCAGTTTGGTTTCCCAATACAATTCAACGGAATTGAGGGTGCCTACAATGAGGAAATTTTTGAAACAAAAGTTGGATAGAATTTGATTCCAGAAGTACCTGGATGATTCAGCTCCGCATAAAGTACTCCCATCTCAGCTGGTATACTTTCAAATCCACAGGTGGGTATAACATAGGATCCCTTCTGTTGAGCCAATTCATTATATTTCAGCTGGATAATATCGGCATATTGTGGTTCGCCCGTTATGTCGACATGATGCGTGCCAGCATCAATACAGGCCCTTACCACCGCCTCGCCGTACAGGCGAAATGGGCCACAGCAATTTAGAACGATCTACAGAAATGTTGGAGAGAAAATATATTAATGAAAGTGAGTGAGGCAGAGGTAGGGCTCACATTTATAGAATTATGCAATTTCTCTAAATTCTGAATCTATTTCTATTTTCCGTTCGTATTTAGTTTCCATCCTTAAAAATGTACTCTTGGGTTTTTCAACTTACCTTACACTTCTTGGCCATGGCTTCCAAGGACGATTGATTATCCACATCGGCAATTATCACCGGAATATGACTTAAATCCTGATCCATTTTCTTGCCAATCGTTTCTAAGACACGTTTTAATTTGCTCTGCAAAAAATGATCGAACAAATTATAAAAACTTCTAAAAATCTCTTACTCCTCACCTCATTTCTTCCAGCGATGCCCCATTTGAAGTCCTTGAGAATTTCCACAGCATCTTCAACGACAATTTTGCCCGTAAAACCACTGGCTCCAAAAATAATGGCATCCAATTTTTCGCCAGGCATTCTACCGAACTCTTAACGTTGGCACTGCTTGACAGCAACTAAAGTCGGGATAGTTTTCAAAAGCAGAACCACTTGGAAAAACAATAACATTGTCGAAAAAATATGCAAACGCTTGTGTGTGATGACGTCGGAAGTTTTAAGACCCGACTGATTTAATTTTACCTTTTCAGAAAAGAGTAAAGCAAAATTGGGAGCCAGTGTTCCGTTTCGAGCATTGAAATTTATGCATTCAATTATTTTATGTCTGGTCGATTTCGATTTAATGTAAGCAATTGTTTTCAAATTAACAATGGGATATTTTCGGACAATAATAATACAAATACATGCATTTTTAAAAATTATTTTTTCAATTAATCAAAGGGCGTGGAGTTTTTAAAAATTATTTTTTCAATAAATCCCCTGACGTGGATTTTTTAAAAATTATTTTTTAAATAGATCCCCTGACGTGGATTTTTTAAAAAAAATATTTTTTCCATAAATCCCCTGACGTGGATTTTTTATTTTTTTCAATAAATCCACTGACGTGGATTTTTTAAAAATTATTTTTTCAATAAATCCGTAGAAGTGGATTTTTTAAAAATTATTTTTCAATAAATTCTCTGACGTGGATTTTTTAAACATTATTTTTTTAGAAATCCGCAGGTTTGGATTTTTTTAAAAATATTTTTTTTTGAAATCCGCTGGCGTGGATTTTTTAAAAATTCGTTTTTCAATAAATCCTCTGACGTGGATTTTTTAAAAAATATTTTTTTTCAAGAAATCCACAGGCTTGGATTTTTTAAAAATATTTTTTTAGAAATCCGTTGGCGTGGATTTTTTAAAAAATATTTCTTCAATCAATCCACTGGCGTGAATTTTTTAAAAAATATTTTTTCAATAAATCCACAGACGTGGATTTTTTAAAAATAATTTTTTAATAAATCCTCTGACGTGGATTTTTTAAAAATTATTTTTTAATAAATCCACAGACGTGGACTTTTTTTAAATTATTTTTTAATAAATCCATAGAAGAGGATTTTTAAAAATTATTGTTTTAATAAATCCTTAGAAGTGGATTTTTTAAAAATTATTTTTAATAAATCCTTAGAAGTGGATTTTTTAAAAATTATTTTTTCATTAATTCCACCGACGTGGATTTTTTAAAAATTATTTTTTTCAATAAATCCCCTAACGTGCATTTTTTTAAAATTATTTTTTTCAATAAATCCCCTGACGTGAATTTTTTAAAAATTATTTTTTTCAAAAAATCCATTGAAGTGTTTTTTTTTTAAATTATTTTTTCATAAATCCATACAAGTGGTTTTTTTTATTGTGTCTCCACCCTAATATTTCCGCACACATAATCGCCTAAATTGTCTCCAAGCAAATATTGTACAATTCCATAATTTTCGTTGAGTTGACAATTTGCTTCTTTCCAGTTTAAATATTAAACAAGAAGTTTCTCAATCACTTTTTCAACATTTCTTGGTGTTGTTGTTGTAGTAATTGCTGTTGGTGTTGTTGTAGTAGTTGTTCTTGTGAATATGTCTACTCGAATAACCAAACACATAAAATTATTCTTTGTATGCAAATTTCTTTCACAAATAGTTGAGTTACCATGAAGAGATGGTTGTCTCAATTGTTGGCTGGCTGCCTGGCTGGTTGGTTGGTTGCCTGGCTACATATTCATCTACCACCTGGGACACCGATCCACCATACACATACCCAGTGTTTCAATGATATGTAAATAAAATTTAATCAAAATCACAAATGTGAATACCCACTCACACACGTGCACATATACATTGACATTGAGAGGAGCAAACTACAACTACTCGTAGTTGTGTGTGGGAGTGTGTCGGTGTTGATAAAAACTTCCCAAGATTTGACTTTGAATTACCTGATGATATGCCAAGTCATTTTCATGTGGAAATTTGTTGAATGAATGGGGTTAATCTGTGTTAAGAAGTACGACAAAGAAGTGCAGTAATTAGTTGTAGAAAACTTCTCAGAGATGTAGTGACTTATGATGGGTATAAGGGGCTTTAGAACAACTTAAAAACGACAAACTCTTCATATCCTCTGTCATGAAATTGACTTCAAGATCGCTAAAGCGACTGATATTTTCAAGCCTTTGTTAAAAAGCCTTCTATTTGTTTTTTGAAAACACAAAATGTTGGAAAATTCGACTATAATCCTCAATATTCCGACATAGGTGTGCTAGTGTGGTTTATGAAGGCTATTCTAAGATCTGGACATACAGTATGAGATGAAAAAACTGCAACCAACTTTAGACTGCTGTTATATTGTTACAAGCATTACAAGAGCACTCCAGCATTTAAAAGTGAATAAATCTTTTGGGTCTCGTACCATCGCTCGTTACCTACGCTACCAGTGTAGCCCGACGTCTAGCAAGTGGACAGATGAAAACAGCAACATCAGCAGAAATGGTTTGATATGTTCGTGAGCTGAACATATCGCAATATTCCATTCGGCAAATATTGAAAAATGAGCTCGGGATAAAACCATTGAAATTCCCAAAAATGCAAGAACTTACACCGCAACAGAAAGAATATGGACTGAAAAGAGCTTAAGAGTTGCTTCGCTTGGCCGAAAGTGCTGAACTGCCGAATTTAGTTTTCTCCGATGAAAAACATTCGTTGTCCAGCAGTTTGTAAACAAACAAAATGATCGTGTTTACTTGCCAAAGAGGTCAGCTGAAAATGTGCACCTTCGGTTGTCCACCAGAACTCAAGCGCTGGCCATGGTGATGGTGTGGGCCGCCGTAACAGCCGATGATCGCTCTCCGCTCGTATTAATCGACCGTGGCATCAGAATAAATGCCGAATATTATCGCGAAAATATTCTGGAGGGTATATTAAAGCCTTGGGCATGCAAACATTTTGGCTGCAGACCTTGGACATTCCAACAGGACTCAGCACCATCGTACTCAGCACGCGCCACCCAAGAATGGTCACAAAATGAGGTTCCTTGCTTCATTTCCAGCGCACAATGGCCACCAAAATCTCTGCCTCTACCAATCCGTTGGACTATTGTGTCTGGAGTATTTTGGAAAGCAAGGTTGACACTAAACGAGTAAAAAACATTAAGTTCGGCCGGGCCGGAACTTTCAATACCCTCCATCTCAGGGTAATGGAAACATTAGAACCAATTAGGACCCACAAATACCAATTTTTAGACATATTCGTGGGAAAATGTGGCAAAAATCATCAAAATACCGAATATCGGGAGGTACCGCTATATAGGGCTATACAAAAAGGTGGACCTATACATACAATCTTTCGTCAAGCTAGAACCCATTAAGACCTACAAACACCAATTCTCAGACAAATCCGTAAAAAAAAGTGGCAAAAATCATCAAAATACCGAATATCGGGAGGTACCGCTGTATTGGGCCTTAACCAAAACGTGGACTTATACATGCCATGTTGCGCCACCGGAGCTAGAACCCATTATGACCAACAAATACCAATTTTTAGACAAACCCATGAAAAAATGCGGCAAAAATCATCAAAATACCGAATATCGGAAGGTACCGTTATATGGGGGCTATACCAGAATGTGGACCTACACGTACAATGTTTCGCCACCGGAGCTAGAACCCACTATGACCAACAAATACCAATTTTTAGACAAATTCATGAAAAAATACGGCAAAGATCATCAAAATACCGAATATCGGGAGGTACCGTTATATAGGGGCTATACCAAAACGTGGACCTATACACGCAATGTTTCGCCACCGCAGCTAGAACCCACTATGATCAACAAATAACAATTTTTAGACAAATCCATGAAAAAATGCGGCAAAAATCATCCAAATACCGAATATCGGAAGGTACCGTTATATGGGGACTATACTAAAACGTGGACCGATATGTGTCATTTCCAATACCAAACCATTTTTCAAACCATCCTAGACATAATACAAATTATTCTGCTAAATTTTGACGCTCTACGTCAAATAATGTGACCTGTATCGTGATTTCAACAGACAGACGGACATCGTTAAATCGACTTGGAATTTTATGCTGATTGTGGGGTCTATGACGAATATTTAGACATGTTACAAACGGAATGACAAAGTTAATATAACCTCCTTTTCAACGTGGAGGGTATAAAAATACCAAAGTGTCGATCACCTCAAGCAAGCGCTTTGCCGGGAATGGACCAAAATACCGTAAAAACAACATTCGGGCAGCGTTAGACGGTTTCATTGGCCGTTAGAAGGCCATGATTCGTGCCAAAGGTGACCAATTCGATCAAATCTAAACTTATTCTAAAAAGTGATGCTATTTCCGAAATGTGGAATTTGGTCTATGGCTAGATTTTTTGTCGTTCGTCCAACAAGTCGAACATTGTAATTATGCAGTTTTGTCAGGCTGGTGATCTTAGTTTGAAGGAAGCTATCGGGTCACGTTTTACAGAAAAATCGGTCTGCGCCTTTGAAATCTTAACTCATTTACACTCTCGCTCTATAATCTTTATTAACATTTCAAAAAATATCTCTCATGTCATTGCTTATTTAAAACGAACTTCAAATATAAATCCTGACAGCCACTGCTGACAATGTGACACCAAATATTTCTAAACTGAATTCAAGATTTCTTCTCCCAAAAAAAATTAAATCGAAAACATGAATTGAAAGCTACGTTAAATGCCATGCAATGCAAATTTCGCTGACGAAGATAAAGACGACGACGAGGAGGATGATGATGCATTTTACATGCGAAACGAGTTTGAATTTCATACTCAAATGCAAGCTCACTCTTATACATTTACTCACACACACATATAAATATAAAGAATGATATGCACACAATATTTTGGTGTGTGTGTGAAAGAGAAAAAGAAAAAAAATTGGAATTGAATTCAATGACTTGATAAGATAACATCAAAATCAGTTCCCTCTTCTTGAGTTTCACTCCCTCTCTTTTTCACTTCGAATCTAAGATGAATATTTTTTTTCTTCGCTTCCACAAAGTTCTTGTACCGACAGATTGTCAAATGTAAAACATGACAGAATTTAATGAATAACAAATAGGGAAACTGTAGCTGTTCTTTGTAGTGTAGTTTTAGTCCGCTAGCGGAAG